CTTTGGTCAAATGAAATCGACTTTCTAAATTAATTGAAAATTGTTCAGAAAGGTTGAAACTACCTACATATTAATTTTTATGGGTGTAAGTATAATACTTATGGAGAAACTTACATTTTTTGTAATAGTATTAATTTCGAATTTTTCTTTTACTGTTTATTAACTTTATTAATTGAATATTGTTAATCTACTTGTATATTATATTTAGTTTAGCTTCACAACATATTTAAAATTGGATTTAATAAAATATATTAATTAATAAATATATTTTATAAATTATATGTGTTATAATAAAAATTTAATTAGGTTAGAAGATTGATTTGCTTATTTTTATATAATTTTTAAGGTTAGATATCAACAATGCTTAGCGATCATAGTAAAAACCTATGCTTAGAGCTACTAATAAAAAATATTTTTGGGATCTTACCTATATAAGTATTTTCCGGGGTCCTATGGAAGTGGTGAGAGAGAAGTCAATGTGGTTGTTGAAGTTGCTAAAACTAGTGATGAAGACGGAGATAATAGCGAACAATTGATAAATAAAAACTCATTAAGTAATCAAGATGTTGATATGATAGAAGTCCCTGGGAACGCTGAAGAATGTGTCCAGGAAGCAGGTTATGAGGTTATTGAAGTTGCTAAAAAAACTAGTGATGAAGATGGAGATAATAGCGAACAATTGATAAATAAAAACTCATTAAGTAATCAAGATGTCGATATGATAGAGTTCCCTGGGAACGCTGATGTATGTGTCCAGGAAGCAGGTGATGAGGTTGGTAAAATGACCAAAACTAGTTATTTGTGTCCAGTATACAATAATAGAGGTACCGATGAAGAAAACATGTTTGGCGAACAAATGGTAAACAATAACTCTGAAAGTAATGAAGAAGATGTAATTTTATTCAAAAATGCTTTCATTAGCGAATACTATGATGACGTAGAAAGTAGTTTTAATGCATTAAATATTACAAATGATTATAATATTTGGCCTCAATATACATCGTTAAATGCTGTTGAATTGTCACAAAGTCACGAGCTTTCTCATTTTGAACATCAAGTTCATTCGTCTACTTATTTACAACTATCTGAAATGTACGATTACGGTGATAATTATTCACAAAATATTGATTTATCGTTACGTGATGAAAGAAAATCATTAGATATAAACAAATCTTTAAAATTGTCTAAAAAACTATTGAAAGAAACAGAATTAAAAGATTCGATTATTTCTGTTGCTTATCCTAAATATAGAAATTCTGAAAATTTAAATTATTTAGAGAATAATAATTTTTTAAACATACTTGAAAATTGTTTAATTGCAGAAATCAAATCAGAATCACAAAAATGCGAATTATTATTAAATTATTATAGGACTGGGGCATATTTAAATAAAGTATTAGAAGACTTAAAGAACGAGTTATCTGATATATCTGAAATTATTGAACGAAATATATGTACTGCTATAGTCGACAATTTTAAGTTCCGTAAAATGATTTCCGAAAAATAAGTTTTTAATATATGCAGGGTTATACGTAATTAAAAGACGCATATTAAAAAAGAAAATTTTGGAATTATTTAGAATATTATTTTAAATTATTAATACGGACATTCAATAATTCCTCTTATATTTTGATCAAAGTACTTTCTTAAATAAGATTTATTGAAAGTGTTAGAAAAATTATTCACACTGATATTTTTCGAATTATTGATTTAGTAAATAGTACAAAAAAAAAAAAAACAATCTAATCTAAATTTGTTGTTTTATGTATCACAAAGTATCATTGTACTGACATTTATGGCTGTAAATGAAGTCTTTTTTCTTTATATGAAAGGTTGGAGTGTCCTTTTCATTATTTAAATTTAGTTGCATGACATCCATATTTTTACGAAATAGAATTTAATTATATTAGGAGTACGGTTATTTGAAAAAATATTCCTGGATACCCTTTTAGTATTGTACATCCGCGGATACCTGTCGCAATTCCGAATATGTTTTGAAAGCTGTTGTGATTGTTTACATGAATAAGGGTTAACGTTACAATGTTTATTTGTCCAACTTTATCTAACCAAATTGCTTTTTTCAAAATTTAAAATCTCATGTGTTAGATGCTGTCGTGTTTTAAACTCGCAGATCTACCTCGGTTGCCATTATTAACTTATTATTAACTGATTTTGCTCGTACGAGCATACAGGGCTGAGCTGTGCGACAATTAATTTGCAGCATTACTTTATAAGTCGAATAGACCCTCTGAATACGTAATAGAATCTTCCGCGGACAGAGGCTATTAATCTGTACTTGGGAATACGGTAAATCTGTACACGGAAGCAATAATTCGTACGTACAAAGTAAATGCTTTTAAAACTTTTTACATTACACTTCGGCCGATTTTTATACAATAAGAACGACGAACTCCGACCTAAAATTCTTCAAATTCGTGAAATTCGTGCAACTATGTTCCTCAGTGTATTCAGGAGCCCCTGTCTAGGAGTTTTATTTCTGATTTACCCCAGCATCGCCCCAAGATTTCTAAGTAAAATTCCACCCCACGTGACCGGTGATGTTTAATGGGGAGTGAAAAATATTTTTTTCACCACTAAAAATTTCCAGAATACTTATGAAAAAATGAAAACGGTGAGGTGTGACGCGGGGTGACATTTTATGCAGGTCACGTGGGGTGAAAAATCTTGGGGCGACGCTGGGTTCTGTACATCGTCACGTGCCTGACAGCGATCACTGATCAATAACCAATCACCCGTTTTGTTTTGAATTATCAGTCCCGATCAAAAATCCGAGCGATCAGGTTATTGTGTCACCTCTACGTATAATTTTGGTACACTTTGGACTAAAAAAACGTATAAATATGTTAGCTATATTCACTTCTAACAAAACGGTTCTCTTCAGTATTTTTAATATCAAATTTTTTTAATAAGTGAATAATAAAATGAAGAAATTTTTTTATGCTACAATCACTTTACGACAGGCCACTTCGTGACATTTTTTTTAATGAGCCATGTTTATATGACCCAACATTATTATAAACATGAGAAGAATCAATTATTCAATTTAGTAAGGTACAGTATGTAAGTTTAAATTTGGTAATCCTTCCATTTTTTTTTATACAGTCCATTATATATAAATGGTATTAACCCAGATACAGTCAAACTGATATGTTAGGATCCATATGAAAATCTTTGAAAATATCTTTATACCTTATGTTCTCTCATATAGAAGGAAAGTAAAATTTTTATCGTTATATCGATATATCGAGTTTTCAATATATTATCAGTATATCGAATATCGAGGTCAAACTGTATGATGTTTTTAAATTGCATTGAAAAATTCCAAAGCATTGTAAATACTTTTGTTTAGTTTTAGTTGGCATGTATTAATAAAAGTAAAACTTTAAAGTATGAAAAGACTAGCGTCCAATTGAAAAATACAATAATGTTACATATTTTATAAATTTGAACTTTTTAATGATAGGTAAATCTAAGCAACAACAAGCCCTATAAAAAATTTTTATCCGAATATTTCCATTATTTCTCCGTGTCTTCCGTAAAAATTCCGTGAAAATGATACATTCACGGATATCCGTGTTAGCGAGATGAAAATTTCCATGATTTAAGGCTATAAATTCCATGAAAATGATACATTCACGGAAAAAACATGGAAAGATAAAACACGGATCAGATTTTTTTACAGGGAAGGATGTAAACAAATCTACTGCACGTAAGAGAAAAAATCCACTGTATCTTATAAACCAGACGAAGATATTGTTAATGAGTCAATTCATCTACTTTAATACGTTGATGGCTAATCCAGAAACAATTAGATGTAGTAAAAGGATGCGAATTGGAAATCTTTCACGTCCTCAAAATGCGTTTATGTTAATAAAATTGATAGTTTTATTATCTAAAATCTTTGACTAATATACTGTAGATTTGATAAAAAATAAGAAAACTAATAAAGACAATTGAACATAAATTCATAAATTGAATGAGGTAGAGATATATCTATACAAATTACTAAACTAGTAATAGTTTTGTATATTAGATAAATCACGGACAGATACATTTGGATTGTAATAGAAATTTATAGAATAATAAACTTTAAATTTTAGCATGAAATAATTATATAAAGAGTATCGTTAAATCTTTTCTTGACTTAATAAAGAAGAAAAAAAAAAAGGTTTTAATATTATCATATTATTAACCATGTTTTTATCGAATGTAAATTTATGAGTAGAATTAGGTCAAAAAGGCTGTTATTGAAGCGGAGTTTGTAAAATGTAATTGAAAATCATGTGATTAGATATTACTCTGGCCAAATTATAATTTTTGGCCGAAATTAAATAGTGACCCATCACCATTGGTCAAGGTCACCACACTGTAATGCCATTTGAACATTTGAAGTAAAATACTCCTTAATTTTGCATTATAATTAGAAATATATAATAAATTCATATATTTTAACGGGAATATAATCAAAAAAAGCAAAAAGATTATCCGAGAATCATTCTAACTAAAATTTAAATCTGCCAAGCAATAAGGAGAAAAAAAAAAAATGTTTTTTTTTTGTTTTTATTTCACAGATGAATGAAAATGAATAATTAGATCAGATAATATGTTTCTTGTTTGACACTTTTACTTTTTGTATAACAACTCTTTTTTTTTTAAAAAAAAAAAAAAAAAAATTCTTTTCCTTCAATTCCATTTTTAAAAAAAAGAAACTGAATTATATAACCACAATACGAAAAAATAATATAAAAAAAGATAATTTATAAATTATAAAATGAAGAATATTTTCTTTTTTTGTATATTTGTTTGTTTCATCTTATTTATGAACTTAAAAATAAACAAATATTGATTAAAAATTCAATTTATCTACGAACTTTTCTTCTCAAAAAAGCCGCGAAATTCTGTGAATGTTTATTTTATGCAATTGGAATTTCGAACAAACACTCTTCATTAAAATATGACACATACCTGGCGTAAAAATCGTTCGATAAGTAAAACAAAGTAAACATATAAAATAATTATTTCCATAAATTGTAGCATTCATACAATATGCAAAAAGAAAAAAAGAAATTTATTATTGTAGTTACCCGTTCCAATTTTTTGATACAATGGCCTTAAAAAAAAAAAAAATTTTTTTTTTTTTTTTGATTATGTAAAAGCCCACATTTATTTATTTATTTATTATTTATTTATTTATTTATAAATTTTATAATGAAAATTCCCAACTTTAAAAACAAATTATACATTTATCACGTGCAGGGCAGTAAATTGCTGAAAGAATCTCGGTAATTCATTGGTAACCTAATTTCAACTAATTCTGGCAGTTGTATAATTCAGAGTTCATTCTAGGATATTTTTTTCATTTAGAACTTGGAATTAGTTAGTAATAGTTAATAATTATCCAATTAATTAACCGATTTGAATGCAATATTCTCGATATTTATTGTTAACCTATAATAAGACACTATATTATGATAATTCAACCAACCTTCCTTTAATGTTCATACATATACATATATATGTATTTTTTGTTCAATTATGGATTAGCTACTGCAATTTCACAAATAAAAAAAAATGTCCATTGTTTGATTTTATCTTAACAAAAATTACATTAATTTTGAAATATATATGCATTTATATTCGGAAATCAATTCGTTTTCGTTATTAAGAAAAAAGAAAATAATAAAAGAAAATAATAATAATTTAAGAAAATTTTGTGTATTTAACATATGTACATATGTTAAAGTAGAAATATATAAATAAATATCGATGAATGTTCATTATTTTTGTTTTTATTTTGAGAATATTTAAAAAATTTATTTTTATTAATCAAATATTTAAATATTTTATATATATGTTTATATAAATAAAATAATACAAGTATGATGGGCATCACCTTTCTATTCTAAATATTAAATTATATATTTTTTCTACATTATTTCAAAATTTAATCATAATTTTTTAAATGTGGTATCATCCAAGCTTCTAGATTACAACTTGGATAGTCCAGCAACATATTTGTCTCCTCAGGCTTATACATTTTCTAATTTTAAAAGCAAAAAATCATGAGATAAAAGACGAGCCAATAATGTTGACAATTCAGAAAAACTGAATAAAAACAAAACAGTAATTTGAGTAAACTATTATAATAAATATAAAATAACAAACCTGTTTATGGAACAATGCAAATTAGAGGGTAGTGATGACAAGGAAGACGGTGAAATGAGAACGAGGATATAGAACAAGTTTTTTAATAATCCATTAGCATTTTAATATTATAAGAAAATTTATAATTGCTATCGAGTGGAAGCATAACATTAGGATATGATCAATTGGTGGAAGGAATGACTAGCAAGCAAAGAGAAATGCCGTGAAAGTGGTCACTTTAAACAGATGGATTTTGAATAAAGAAAGTTGTCACATTCCGCAGCCAAAGCAATGGAAAAGAAGCTTTATAATTAACACAAATTGTTAAACTGAAGGATTTTTATATTTATATGGCAAATAGAATGGTATCATACAACTTCAACCTGAATACGGATAGAATAATTATAATTTAGTAATCTAACCATCAATTATTTTTTAAATTAAGTATAAAGTATACTCAATTTAATAATATAGTAATTTCTTGGTCCTTTTTTTTAAAAAAAAATAAATAAAATAAAATAAAAATTACATAAAATAAAATTTTTCTAGAAATTACAATAGCCATTAAATACTGTTAGGCCAATTTTAGGCCTTATTATTTTAACACAAGTTTTTATTTGTTCAAAATTTTATTAACTTAGTTTTAATTCTTTGTCTTCTTACATGAAGTGTACTACTAGTATGTTCAGTATGTTCTTGCCTAACTTTGGAAATTAAAACCAAATTGAAATTCGTTGTAACGCAAATGTACGTATGGAAGGAACGATCAACATGAAGTTGATCCCCGAATTTATTGTTATATTTTTAATCACTCAACTGCCCGATTAGCTTTGTATTTTTCAGACGAGATCTACTTTAAAAGGATAATGAACTTTACAAATTTGTCGTAATAACTGGATTCTATAGAGATAACATTTGTAGTAATACAAAATTGTATAGATTTGCGGACTGACTTTTAGCAAATGTATTTAATAAGTATCTCATGAACGAATAAAATGTTGTGTTCTTGTGTTATTCTCTCTTACGCGCAGTTTCTTTAAAACAATAACTAAAATACAGAGATTTGGAATATTATCAACTTGATACGAATAGTAACGCATTATTAGGTTCATTTCCATATATATATATTCATGTATCTTTTTAGGAGAAATGACACCTTAGATTCAATAATAGATAATGGTTTGATTGGTAATTTGGTACTATGTTAGTTCTGATATAAATTAATAGTATAGTACGTTATCAAGAAAAAAAAAATATTTAAGCCAAACTTCCTTTTTTTTTTATTCATAAGATATATTGAGTTGTGCCCTCTTTCGATAATAATAAAGATAATCGCAATAAGTTCTATTTTAATAAGACTAAAAATATATATGTATTAATTATGTATATTGGGCTGACACATACATTCTTGGCGCTTATTTTTTGGTAATACAAATACGTATGGGGGATCTTTCGATTCATCACGTTAACATTTATAGAAATATTAGTTGCAATTAAAGAAAAATTAACCCCTTGCCAATCAGGAATTGACCACAGAAATGACCTAATGAAAATGCAATTTAATTAAATACGCATGAACTTATCTATATTATTATACTCCTATATTTTTTAAATTAAAATATTAAAATTAATTAATTTATCAATTTTAAAATAATAAAAAAAACCAAACAAAGAAAAAAAGAAAAACAATAATATGTTATCCTGATCATTTGGTCATTTCTATAAATTATAATTGGTAAATTATTTGAATTTTATTATAAAGTTATAATTTCAATATTATTCCTAATTTTTTTCTTAATGATATTTTATTGGTAGAAAATTTCTTCATAAAAAATTTAAATATTTAAAATATTCAGCCTCTCAGGGGAAGAAGGAATAAACGCGATTACAACAACGTTAACAACAACTAATAGCTGCAGCTGTAAATCATGGTATAATCATAGTCGGGAATCATCCCATCCATATAAATGCTCTATAATATACTGTGTAAGAAAAGGGTGAGTTTAAGTGAAATAATTCAAATAATTCATATAATTATTCGTATTCATAATAGAAATACTTATGACAAATTGCATGATTTTTTTTGAACAACCCATTCGCATTTACTTGGCAATGATTTGTTGGTATTTTACTGCGGAATTATGCCAAAATTCAAACAATACTAAAACTACCAGATCAAAACAATATCAACATAATAAAAAAAAAACGAACAATATTTCGAAAACTTATAATTATTTTATTGTTTGAATCACAAATATTATTCAAGAAAATCTTTCCAGAATAAATTGATTATATTATTTATTTATTATTATCATTAATTTACATATTTTTATTCCTAAAAAAAAATGCCACGTAAAAATGTGAAAATATTAATACATATAATATGATAGGATGCTAAGTAGATCAAAATTTACCATATAAGAGCACAATCATAGATTTTTAACGGCAAATTATTTCTAAGTTTATTTTCCAAACCTAGTTAAAATACAATATATGTTTTTTTTTCAGGAGAAGTTGATTATGTTTCAAGTTACAGAAGAAATTTATTATGGGTACATTCGACAGGGTAAATTTACTCAATTAGGAAAAATTTAAAGCGATTTTCTATTTGCAGATATTTTACTTTAATTTTTCATTATCCATTAAAAAATCGAAGTTTCTGTTTTTTTTGGAAAAATTTAGAACTTTTTTTTTCATTTTATAATCTAAATTATATCAGAAATGATTTTTTGACGCCTAAAGTTGCTGTCGTGTCACCTTTTATTTATTGTAGCGGGAAAATTCTTTACTAAATATTCAATTAATTGAATTATAGAATATCTGAATTGGATCGATCCTTAAAAACTATCTCAATGTGATACTCTTTATGGAAATCCGAACTTGCCGCGCCATATTAATCTAATCGGTCAATCTTAAGATTATTTGTTTTTTCCATAAAAAAAAAAACCTAATAGAAACTGTAAAAAATGGATAAGTAATACATAAAATTTTTTGTGAAATGATAACGAACATCATTAATAATAATAATCTCCTTTATCTCCCCGAAATATGCATATCACCGAACATGTTAACTTAATAATATTTTTAATGGTTACAAAAAAACACGGGACCTTGATCAAAACTTAAATTAACAAGTTTGTTACATTTCCTATTTGTTTATTTGCATATAGACTTTATAGAAATGATCTTTGAAACACAACAAGGGGGGATTATTTTTACAAGTTAAAAAAGAACAAATCAAATAACTAGAAAAATCAATTATTTTAATTTGGCAATTTTTATTATTACAGTTATAAATCCTTATGAAATTTGATTGATTCTCATTGATTCGGAAAAATAACTTTCGGCTTTCTCATTGTTTGGTCGTTTGACCTATTCATTGAATAGAACTTTATTATGTGTGACGAGCAAAATAATTGATCTATTTAAATGTTACCTGTTTATTACACTAAGTAAGCGTTTATTACACTAAGTAAGCTAACTTTAGAAGTTCGTCCATAAAACATTTTATTATACGCGTCTATTCATGTATGCATATAAAAGATGCAGGCGCAAAAAAAAATTTTTTCGTCTTTTCTGTGTAATCCATTTTTCTAACTATTGTTATGAAAGAACAATATTTTCGTACTTATTTTTTTTTCTTTTTTATTTTAATTAAAATTTTAATTTCAATAAAAGTTACACAATTTTTATTATAGATTGTCACAGAACAACTTCTCGCAAAGAATGGATATCCCGAACAAATTACTTTTTTTTATTTTAAGAATTGTATCATAAATTCAAATGAATGCAATTATTTTTTTATATGATTGAATAAATTATTTGAGTTCTTATAAAGAAAGTTTCATTTTCTTTGTTTATTAACTGTTATCTATCAAAGTTTACTCAAGAAGGTTGTAGATTATGCATATTGAAATTTTAAAGATTACGTTTAAAGAAAAAATTTAACTATTTTCATGAGAATTTTACGTAAATTTATTCTTTTTAAGAAAAAAAGGTTGTTGGCTTAGCTCGAGAAAGTCTTTATGAAATTATTTATAAATTTCAATATAACCAAAGTAAACGAAACGTTTGAACCGAATAGAAAAATCGAATATTATTATCTCTTGATTCTCAAAAGGTAAAGATTTTCTTATTTAAAGTTCTAGTATTTTAAGATTCTGGTCATCTTTTTTTTTTTTCTTTTACATAAAAAACAAAGCCAAGCATGAAGCTAATACATATTTATATTTGATAATGATTATCGATCGCTCACGGATAAATTGAAAAAATTTGAAAAATCTCGTAATAATTGGAATAGCTGAAATGGTTATTACTAACTGCGCATGCACTTCGTATCTCCCCGATTAAAAATGGTTTTTTCTTTGCCCTATTTGAAAAAAAAAAAAAAAATATGAAAATTTCTTTTGTAACTTTCTTATCCCTCCACTACTTTCTTTGGGAAAGACATAAGACAAATTCGATCGCGCATTTCCTCTTTTGTGCGTAATTCCTATTTTATTCTCCTTAGATCCCTATATTTTCTCTTTTTTCCTTCTCTCCTTAAGTACTAATTTGTCTTCTTGTGACGTCTTGAATCGCAAAATTCAGACATTATTTTTTCATTATTTTTAAAATATTCATTCTTTTATCCAGTTTGTATTTTTATTTTATTTTATTTACTATTTCTCGTTTATTTCGTCTTTTTCATCCTAATATATGATTATGCAATGTATAACTTTTTATCGATAATAAGAAATTTTTTTTTAATTCTAACGATAATATTATTGAATTTTTCCTTAGTAAAGACACAAAGTACAGATGTAAGAGAAAAAATGAATTTTATAATAAAACCGATTTGAATGTTACAAATTTTAATCTCATGTTTTTTGTCTGATCAACAGAATGTCGGTATAAAGCCTGAAATGCTTGATGACCATTCTATTATTAATATTACTGCTATCGTTTTAGGTCATGTCAATTTAATAGCTTGCGCTTTTGTTGTATGTATTAAATCATCGTTTATTTCCGAAATTATGAACGAAAACTTAATATTGATTATTATTTTGATTTTGAATAGATTTATTCAGCATTTATGAAATGGCGCGCAAGTTCTTTATCAATATCAAGTCGAGTTCCTTTATATCTCAGCATTTCAGACATATGCCAATGTTAGTAAAACAAAAATTTTAATATTATAAAAAACCAATTAATTATATATTTATTTCCTTCTTTCATTTCTTATTTATATAGATCCTATTTTCATACCGAATTTTTTTCATTCACTAATTTATCACGATATAATTCCCGAAATAACCTGTAAAGTACTCGCCTATCTATTATTCCTTCAAATAAATTTTAATATGGTCTTAATGAGTAGTATTGCATTCGTCACTTATTTGGTAAGTTTCTATACATAATTAATTTGTAATGACCCTGAGTAAAATTTATAACATTCGATCGTTTTATATTTAGAGAGTTGTAAAAAGCAAAGCAACAGATCTTGGAAAATATGATTGGTAAGTAAAAAATCCATATTACCGTATTTTGCGGTATATAAGCACCCCATTTTTGCACTTGATGCCGGCCAAGATCCTCATAATTTTGGCCAAAATCGCCATAATTCTGGCCAGGGGTGCTTACTTTCGGGGGGTGCTTACTTACCGCAAAATACGGTATTTTTTTTATATGACATATTTTACTTTAATTAAAAGGAAATTTTTTTTTTTAGGAAAATTTTTTCGTGGGTTATCATATTGTCATTAGTATTATCAATTCCATCAATACCTTCTTTAGGGGCATCAAAATTTTGGTGTTTGACCACTACAACAAATTCCACGAGTACATTAATAATTGGCGTATATGCAGTATTTACTATATCTTTCATCATAGCATGTTATTGTTATTTTAAAACATTACAAACAATATTTAATGTCGATCGAGAAGAATTATCAGATTCTGCTGGTAGAATCGATAGACGAAATAGATTGGAAAGACAAGCTACAAGAAAAATCTTACTTTATGTTTTAATATTTATGAAATGGATTCCTTTATTACTATTTGGTATATGTATTATGCTTGAATATGAGGAAGCTTTGTGGGTAGATCTTTCTACAGTTATTGGTATGTATCGTTCACAAGAATATTTTTTTTATTTCGATATTAGGCCAAGTAAATAAAATTATTCGTTTCTCATAACCGGGCGGGTCATGTAAATGTTAAAAAAAGATATTTTATTTAGTCATGTGATTTTAGTTTTGACCAATCATAATCATAAAAAAATAATTTTTTTTTCCACCCGGTGACCCGGGCAAAAATTTATTAAATCAACCAATCAACTTCTAGGAATCGGCTAAATTTTTATTAAAAAATAATTTTTTTTCCGGGCGGCCGGGTCAAATTTAGCAATTTTTTTTCATGAGAAACGAATAATTTTATTTCTTTGGCCTTATCTAAATATTATCTAATTCTTTTGTTATTTTATTAGCATTTAACCTCGGAGGAATGTGCAATTGTGCTTTATATCTCATGAACGAATATTCACATAATAAATTAGTTACATATAACTTAGAAATAGAGGAAGGCCAACAAGAAAGTAATAATCCACCTTCTCAATTCAATCAACCTTTCTTCCAGCATCAACGAGCGAATTCTAGTACAAATTCTGTAACTCTTGTAACATCCACTTCAACAAATGAAGATACCACTACTGATATAATAGATTTAAAACGATTTGATAGTAATGAAAGATATAAAATTGATGATGCTGGGAATAAAGGGGACAATAAAGTTTATGAAGTTGATATGAATGGTGGAGAAGAAATTTCGAATTTATAAAAAATTATAAGTGTTTTTTTTTATTAATTAATTAATTAATTTTTTATTATTATTATTTTTTTTTTTTTATTTGTTTTTGGGTTGAGAAATTTTTTTTAAGAGTAAAGAAAAAAAAAATTCTTTTTTTTTCTTTTTTTTTTATTATTTTAAATCGTTTTACATTTTTTTTTTTTTAAATTTTATTATTATTAATTTTTTTTATAATATTTTTTTCCCCTTAAGGATTCCATTTTTGTACTTTATATGAAAATTAAGATTTGTAAAAGCAATATTATTAAATTACAGTATATAGCATTAGTAAATTATTGTATTTTAGTTTTTTTTGTATTTATTTTTTCATTCTTCTTTTTTTTTTTCTTTTCATAGTTAATTTTTTTCTTTTGTAAATTTTAATGATATTGTATGCGAATCTTTTTTATTGTAATTTTATAAGTTAAAAAAAAAAGAAAGAAAAGGAAATTTTTTTGATACTTCTCAATACAAATAAAAAAAAAAAAGCGTTCGGCGTAGTGGTTGAATTTTTGATAACAAGAAACAACAATTTTTTCAATTTGTAAATTTGTACTCATTACTATAATGAAGTTTCTTCTTTAAAAAAAATACAGTACTTTTCATATTAATAGACAAAAAAAATACAATACAAATATAAGTATCTCTGGCAGCGATGAAAAATGACTAGGTTGATATTTGCTACGAGACTGGCAAAGGCGTCAATATTAAATAGCTTGACTGAGCCGGCTAAGACGCGGCTTTGGCTACGTAGTGCACGTGACAAATATCATTCGTAATATTGAATAACAAAGTGTCTAATAATGGTTTACATTTCAAATTCGTTTTTAAGATTATAGATCATTATATCGAGATTCGAGAAATATTTGTTGATTAAATGACACGTGTTGGACAAATAAAGCGAGTTCGTTAACCTTACATAAATTAGACAATTACATCAATGTTAAGGATTGTTTGATGGATAATTTCACTAATTGCTTCATTTACCTTATTTTTCTTATATCGTTAATTGTAGTCTCTATGCATATAATATCCGGCAATGAATGATATCAGGCGATAAGACGTGAACATGCCGAATATGAGCAAAATGGTTAGCATCATGATCCTATGCATGAGGGCGTAATTATTCCGGATAATTCGGAGTTTAGGCGGCGTAATAGTGAAATCTATTACACCAAATTTTGTTTGTTCAAAGATTCAAAGATTAATATTACACCAGTGTTACATCGGTGTAATGCCGAATTGGCCGTAATATTTCGGCATGGCTTGAACATTGTACTGTATATCATGTTCCTATAGGATACCATACTTTATTATAAAATTATACTGCAACGACAGCTTCTGCCACTCTGTCGCCACAAGAATTTCATCTCTCTCATAAAGTCATAAAATTTATAATTTAATAAAAGGTTTATTCTTTATTATGTAAGAATATGTCATTATAACACAGTTATTTATTAAATGTAAAATAATATAGTCATAAAATTTCGTCAGAACATTATAAAATAATTATAATAATTAAAATGATAGTTTTTATTAAAAGAATTAAAAGAGATTAAAAGAATCTGAAAGGAACTGCTAAAGAAAAGGAACTGCTAATACTAAGTCAAAAAGTTGGGGTTTATATAATAATTTACATGTTGATCCTTTGATCAACGTAAATAATAATCAAAATCTTCTTATTTTGTACTTTTTAATTAATTTTTATAACAATAAAGATAGATAAAAATAAATAAATAAATAAATTGATAGACAACGTTCTCTTTAAAAAAGAATAATCACATTCATTTTTTTTTTATTCCAAATTTGGGTGATTTGGATCTGTAAATGTTTTTTTATTTGTTCGAAAAAAAAATTAAAGGTTTGCCCAATAAACCGTTCATCAGATATTATAAAAATGCTGTGACCGAAAGGAATAATTTCTTGTTTCGTAAACGTTGAAAAATTTCAAAAATGACAAATTTAAGAGATGCAAAGGTATAAAGTATTTCATGGAATGATTTTATGATGAAATTGTTGTATTTATCTACATCTATAGATGACGATCGTGCGTGGAATAAATTTATGAAATATAAAATAATAAGTTTATTATCCCGTATCATAATAACAATTAAAAACTTTATTAATGGCTAATTAATGGACTCTATCATATCATAGAATCATTCATCAATTTTCTTTGCAAAAAAGTATAAATACAATATATGCCATCTTCAGGTTTAAATCAGAAAGAAATTATACTTAACATTAAACTACTTATCATTAAGAATATTTTCTTCTTAGGTATAACGATATTCAATAAAATTGATAATATCTACTGTCATAAGTACTGTCATAAGAAAATTAGAAAAAATAATCAATTAATTACGACGCACTAGGCCATTACACTAGGGACGTCAATCCCTTTAAAAAATTTAAGAGTTAATTAGTATATGGGTCATTTGTCGAAATGACCCAATTGACACGTGAAGACAACTTCGTCAATAAAAATTCATTTAACAAAAAAAAATATTTTGATCCTTACTTCCAAGTGAAAAAATGATCACAACTTCGAATTCCACACCGAACTTGGTTACACCCTCCATTCTTAATAATTCTTACTCCACAAGAGGGACATGGTTGAGTTTTTTTATCAATATATTTTTGAGTTGCTTTGTCCACTTTGTTCTCATCGATTTTTGTATCAAATTCAGTACAAGTTAAACCCTGATGCCAAGGGATGTCATGATTATAACATGATTCTTTTCCACAAGCTTCACAAGTAATTTTAGGTTCACATTCTGAATAAATAATAAAAGAACATAAATCAATATATGTTATATACAGTATATAATAAAATAAAAAATTTCGTTGTTACCTCCTTCAATAATATAAATTTGACCAAAATTACATCTGGGATTTTTACACCATCTAAACTCTGGAATTTCTCTTAATTCTTGATATAACAATATTTTATCATATCTTTCAAATATTTTTTTATTAGCGATTTCTTTCATATCATTATATTGAATTTCTTGTTGACATTCATTAAATGGACAATTTATTTCAACTCTATAATCCAATTGAACTGTTATATACTTATTAACACATAATTTGCAAATATTTAATTCGTGATTACAATTTGTTGTAATTTTACGAAATAAAGATTTTGGTTGTGATTTAAGACAGATAATACATTCAATTTTTTTTGTCGTGGTAAAAGAATTATTATTTGAAAAGTGAGAAAATCCGTTGAACTTGGGTAATTTAAGTAATCTCATCTTTTTTTTATTATTATTATTTAGATATTTGGATCTGTCAAAAAAAAAAAAAATTATTTTTTTTTTTCTTTTACATCAATTGAGTCAATCATATAATAAATACATGGGTAATTCAAGAAATGACCAATATTGGCTAATCTTAACTGACATTGCGAGACAGCCGACACTAGTCTAAAAAGTTAAGGATGCTCATCATGCTAATTTGAAGAAATATAAAGTTTCATAACTTCATTTTCGTGCTGCTATGATAATGTTTATATAGGAAGTACTTATAGAAGAAATCAGAACGTTAATAAACATTTCAACTGAAAAATAACAACAATAATAAAGTTCCAAAGTTTCAAAATTTCTTGATATGCACAAACTATCGTAAAATAAAAGCTAAAACTAACATAAAATACACGTAACACAAAATTTAAATATTGCGAATTCATTGTAATGACTGTGATACGTCATATGGAATTGAGAAAATGCTGATAGTATAATGACGTTAAATCATTTAACAAAAGAAGCCTTCTAATTTGTAATTACTCGTGACTTTGATATTCTATCTCAATGATAGGTAATAGCTAAAAAAGTAATTCCTTTATCCTGAATTTTATGGTGGAGCGATTTTTGTTAATTTAGTAATTTAAAAACATTTAGATAAATTTCCAATTTTTAAAATATTTATACTCTATCTTAGAATATTAAATTTTTAATTTCTTTTTTACGTAATAATTACGGATAGAAGGATTTATATCTAATACAAAAAATTCTGATGGTGAAAAAAGTGTCAAAAAAGATGTACGAATAGAAAATTACCCGACCAAAAGAAATTTTATAGTATAAGGTCGTAATATTATTATAAAATTTTAACAAAGCCTCCTTGAGATGCTCTCAAAAAATGTTTTGTCGTATAATTATTCTTTTTTATAATAAAGCTATTTATGCGTTAAATTTTCTACAGCTTTACTGACTATAATATAACGATAGAAATTAAATATAAAGCAAAATTTAATATACAGAAACAAAATAATATATAATAGATCTCATCAACTCATCGGCTTTACATACTTTACAGTTTAAGCGCTTCGCAATCCGATTTAGTTTGGTCTGACTTGTACTTTCAAGATAATGGCTCAATCCCGTTCAACTTGATTTTTTTAGCAACAGTTTGGTTTGACTTTAGCGCTTTAGCCTCAAGTCAGACCGAACTGACGTTAGCAATATTACTTAACGAACATTACTTGCATATCACGCGATACCAACATTTTGAAATAAAGAGAACCCAACTTGATAAATTTTGGATTTTATATATTTAAACTAAGTTAAAAAGAATGTCTGATTAGTGCAAATATAATCCAATAAACTGACATTAAAGAACATTAATTTTGTATTAATTATGGTAAAAGGTAATCAATTCATTGTTATTTATGTTTTATGTTTGTGAAATATAAAAAATTCTCATTATCAAAATTCAATTAATATTACGTATTACGCATAATATTTACATGTAGTCTTATGAGAAGTATTTCCATGTTTCCTAATATCATTATAATCAGCAAAGCATCTATACAAAATAACCAGTATCAAATGAGATTAATTAAAAACAAAATAGTAAAATGTTTAAAAGAAATACTTACAACCAACAAAATTCGTATTTACAAGTCCTAATTTTGCAAGCCATATGATCACACCCATCTTCCTTCATGATTCTTATTCCACATTTTGGACATGGTTTTGTTTCTTTTTCGAGTAAATCTTGAGTTGCTTTGTCATTACCTTGTCTGATAATAAGTTCGTAATTAGAACAAGTTGAATCCTCATGCCAAGGAATATCGTGAGTGTAACAAAATTTTTGTTTACAAGCTTGACAAGTCATTATAGGAGCATCATCTGTATAAAATTAAGATTTATTTAAATTTTTTTTTTTTTTTTCCTTTCCTAATAAAAAGATAAAATTAAAAATTATCTTTACCTCCTCCAAAATGAATTTGACCAGAATTACATCCAGAATTTTTACACCATCTAAATTCTGGGATTTTGCTTAACGTTTGATGAAGCAATAAAGTATTATATCTTTCATATAATTTTTTATTAATCTTTCTTATATCATTAATTTGTATAATTTGATTACATTTATTAAATGGACAATTGATTTTTATATCACTTTGACTATCTAATTTAATTGTAATATGCTTATTAATGCATAATTTACAAATATTTGATCCATGATTACAATTCACAGTAATTTTAGTGAATAAAGTTTTTGGATGATATTCAAAACAAATTTGACATTCAATTTTCATTGTAAAGAATATCTATTATTTAGTTAGCAATTAGAGAAAGGGAGGAAAAAAACTACTTTATAGATTGGCATACACAAAAAAAAAAAGATGGTTCGGTTGGTATGAGTCAATTATCATTATCCTTATCCTTTTATATACATAAAATGCCTAATTTATAAATTTGCTACGGGTGAGTTCGGGAAAAGTTTCATTTTGATTGTTAACGGTTTATTAAACATTGTACTATCACGTGTTTGGAAATTTATTGAAAATACTTTACACAAACATATAGAACTGATTTATTTAAGTTTAATTTACAGTATTTAATAAATAATAATTAATTAATTATATACTTTGTTCAGTCGATTAGGAATATGCGGGATTTTAACCAATATTGAAATCGTTATTAGTAGCATTAATTCCTATAAGTCGCCGCAGTATTCCTAATGACCGAACTATAACTCAGTTATTGGATGGGGGATATCGTCGAGGACCGATATCTCCTTCCCCCATCCAATAACTATTTATTATATACTTTTACATTTTAAGCATAAAATTTGCACGTAGGTTCATGAGACGTATTTCCATGTTGTCTAATCTCTTCATAATCAGCAAAACACCTACAAAATTATGAGACCAATTAAAAACAAAATAGATACTAGTAAAATGTTTATGAGAATACTTACAACCAACAAAATTCGTGTTCACAGGTCCTAATACTGCAAGTCATATGATCACACCCTTCGTCCTTAGTGATTCTTATTCCACATTTTGGACATGGTTTGGTTTCTTTCTCGAGTAAATCTTGAGTTTCTTCGTCATTACCTTGTTTATTTACCTCATAATTAGAACAAGATAAATCTTCATGCCAAGGAATATCATGAGTATAACATGATTTTTGACCACAAGCTTGGCACGTCATTATAGGTGCATCATCTGAGTAAATTAAAAACAAAAAATTATTTCTTATAAATATTAATAATTAAGAATTTTTTTCTTCAATATACATACCTTCTTCAAAGTGAATTTGACCAGATTCACATTTGGGATTTTTACACCATCTAAATTCTGGCATTTTGCTCAATGTTTGACGAAGAATTAAAATATCAAATCTTTCAAATAACTCTTCGCTAATATTTTTTATATCATCATTATTAAATTTTCGATCACATCTATCAAATGGACAATTAATTCTTTCTATTTTACTGTCTAATTGAGATGCAATATGCTTGCTAACACATGATTTACAAATATTTAATTTATGATTGCAATTAGAGGTAATTTTAGGGAATGAAGATTTTGAACAAAATTCAAAACAAACTTGACACTCAATTTTCTTTATAATAGCCATTTTATTTGTTAATAATTCTGGGTGGGAAAAAAAAGTGCTCTAATAGTTTTAATAGTTTTAAATAAATAAAATTTTATGAAATTAATTCCCTAATTTTTTTTTTTTTTTAAAAAAAATCCACATTATTTATAAGAGTCTCAATCCCCTCTCAAAATATTAAATCAACAAATCTTAGTAACAATAACCATATCAAAATTATAAAAAAGTTTATTGAATCTAAATTTGTCGTTTAAGAATGAAATCCGTAGTTTGTGTTTCTAATAAGGTTAATAATAATTAAATCTGGGAACAAAAACATTAATTCTGAATTTAGTAAATTTTGATTATTGAACAAATTATTATGTGAATGTCATTTAATCATATTTGGCTAAAAAAAGATTTTTCTCGTTTCAGCCAACGATGACATACTAAATATGTAAAAAATTTGTGTTAATCATGTTAATCATGTTAATCATGTTATTGTTAATATTCAGAATCAGGGGGAACAGAAAAAAAAAAAGTTATTTATAAATCATAAGTGTTATTATTCAATTGTTCAGCCGAATAGGGATTAAGAAAGAAATTGGCCTTCGAATGTACCAATAGTACGATACCGTCGATACCTTGTATATTACGAACTGTGATTATTTAAAAAAAAAATCAGGTGACTCAAATTGACAGAGGTCATACCTCTTCCGTACGAATTTGATTTTAACACACTTTTTTATATTATTTTAAGCCTCCAAAAGTGCTTCCAATAGTGCTTCCAATCTTCAAGAGCACATCACTGGTTTAACGTACTCCGTCCCCCTCTATTTTTTTAAAAAATCTAAACATGAAACAACATATAGTATGTTTAAATACCCCCTAATTTAAATTGAATTTTCCCAAAATTTTCAAAGTTTTATAATGTATATTTCATTTAGTTTGTTTAAATGAAGACCCTCAAACTTTTCAGGAAATCTGGACGTTAAACAAACGGAACGGCCTTATATTCAATTGAACATTATAGAATTTAATTACGCAAAAATGTAAATTTAATCGATTAAACGTATTTTTATTACAAGCATTAACAAATAATATTTTTTTTCTGTGAGAAAGAGGTTAAACCATGAATTACGAATATTACTTTAAGATAATGTGTCAAAACAGTAGGTACAATTGTATATTACTGGGATATTAGATCTGAAATAAATGCGCAAGAAGCGCTAAAGTATCAATGTGTTAACCTAATGAGACAATAAACCAATCATATTGACTAATTGTCAAAGAATTTAGTTCTGAATTGTAAAATAGAAATATAATACTATTCAATTGACCTTTGTAAATTTCAAATTACCTGTCGTGGATGACTAGTAAAGCGGCCCACATGACCTTTGGCGAAATATTTGCAGCAACCTTCTAATGGTCTAGTGTGTTTATCTAATCATCATCTGTTGTCACAACGAAAATCATGTGATTGTAAATCATCTGGAGTGTTAAGAAAACAATCCATCATTGATCAACGTAATTTTCTTCTCGGATTACGTATTTTGTACTTTTTGATGATTTTTAGATTATTAAATAGAAACAGACGTTTTGTTAATTCAATATCTTTCCCTTCTAACCTTGTAGCAACTTTAAACAGTTCATTTGTTTATAATTTATCGTAAGTATATAGATTTATTATTTATAATTTTTTTTTTCTCTCAACTTTTTTAATAAATTTTTTTTGTAAAATTTGAAATTAAAACTCCTTTAAATTTTAATATAATATTCTTCATTTTATTATTTTTTAGGCAACATACTCCAGTTTTTGTTTTCTCAAACAGTTTTCGATTTCAAACAGTCTTCAACAATAAAGCAAGAACAATGGCAACATCATCGTTTAATAACCTTCCACCAAATTTTACCATCTCATCAGATGGAAGTCATGCGGTATTATCAGTTCCCGTAGAAAAGTCTGATAATGATGAAAGATCTTATAGACTTATTAGATTGAGTAATGAATTAGAAGCTTTACTTATTCACGACGCTAAAACTGATAAATCAAGTGCTGCTTTAGACGTTCATATTGGTAATTTATGTGATCCGGTAAGAGATATTCAGAAATAAAAATTTTTCTAATAATGCTTCAAAATTTCTTGTTGAAAAAATTTCTTTTTTATAGGATGAATTATTAGGACTTGCCCATTTTTGTGAACATTTGTTATTTATGGGAAGCGAAAAGTATCCAAAAGAAAATGAATACAGTGATTATTTATCAAAGCATAGTGGACATTCTAATGCTTACACTGCATCTGATTCCACAAATTATTATTTTGAAGTTGGACCTGAATATTTGGAAGGCGCTTTAGATAGATTCGCCCAATTTTTTATTGCGCCATTATTTGATCCTAGTTGTACTGACAGAGAAATTCGTGCAGTTGATTCTGGTATCTTTTTCATATCCGCTTCTTCATTTTCCTTTAGTTAGATAAAAAATATTAACAAAACATTTCTCGACTTTAGAGAATAAGAAAAACCTACAATCAGATGATTGGAGATGTTATCAATTAGAAAAATCACTATCAAACCCCAATCATCCTTATTGTCGTTTTGGTACAGGAAATTTAGTGACACTAAAAGAAAATCCAGAGAAACAAGGATTAAACATTAGAGATGAATTATTAAAATTTCATGATAAATATTATTCCGCTAATATTATGAAATTAGTCGTACTTGGTAAAGAACCTTTAGATCAGCTTTCTCAATGGGTTATTGAGAAATTTTCTACTGTTAAAAACAAAAGTATTCCGGTACCTACTTTTGAAGGTCATCCATTAACTAAAAACGAATTGATGGTAAGTATAAGGTCATAAAATAATTTTTTCTTCTTTTTTAATTAATTTAAATAATTATATTTAAATTATAGAGGCAAGTTCTTGTTAAACCTGTGAGGGATATTCGTAGCTTAGAAATGACATTCCCATTTCCAGATCAAAGTTTACTATATCGCGTTCAGGTATGTAACAATGTTTTTTTTTTGCCACCAAGTAAAGAAATTTATTAATAATATATTGTAGCCTGGAAGATATTTATCTCACTTAATTGGACATGAAGGAGTGGGTTCAATATTATCTTTACTGAAAAAGAAAGGTTGGGCAAATTATTTAAGTGCTGGTCCAAGCCATGGAGGAGTTGGCTTTGAATTTTTCAGAATTTCGATAGATCTTACTGAATCAGGTTTGGGTAAGGTATTTTTCTATTTATGAGGATTGATTTCTCGAGATAATGGTTTTTTTACTAATTAATTTACTGGATTTTTATGTAGATAATCGTGAAAATGTAATTTTACATGTGTTTCAATATATTGAAATGTTGAAACAGATCGGAGTGCAAGAGTGGAGTTTTCGTGAAGTAAATTATATTTATTATGACTTCATTTAGTTTCTTCGAAATATTTTTAATCTGATCCTTAAATGCATTGACAGGTTGAAAAACTTAATGAAATTTCATTTAGGTTTAAAGAGAAATCATCACCATCACGATATGTTTCAAGGTTATCCAATACGATACAAACACCATATCCAAGAGAATGGGTTCTTAGTGGACCATATTTGATTAGAGAATATGATCCAAAATTAATTGAAGAATCTCTTGAATGGCTTCGCCCTGATAATTTCTTTCTTGAATTAGTTAGTCAAACTTTTACTGGATTAGATCAAAAAGAAAAATGGTATGGAACTGAATATAAAGTTGAACCTTTAAGTTATGGATTACTTCAGGTAGATTTAGATGTATAATATATATTATAATATGTATAAAAAAAATTCATCTTTTTTATTTATTTATATAGGCTTTGAAGAATATTGAGTTAAACCCCGAATTAAAAATGACTTTACCGAATGAATTTATTCCAACCAACTTTGAAACACACAAGACGGAAGTTGCAACGGTATGGTTACTTTAACGATAAATTTACGACATTATATTGATTAAGAAAATATTTTAATATTTCACCTTTATCAGCCTGCCAAGAGACCGAATTTAATCAATAATACTGTAACTAGCCGATTATGGCATAAAAAAGACGATACCTTTTGGGTACCAAAAGCTAACGTCTATTTTATATTGAAAAGGTTTTTCTTGTTTTTCTTAAATTTTTTTTTTCTTTTTGTCATATATCCTTTAAAATAGATGATTTAATTCTAATCTCTTTCTCTCCTCGTAGCCCATTCTCTTACGTTACACCATTGAATAGTGTTAAGGCTCGATTATATGTAGATTTAATTAAGGATGCTTTAACAGAATATTCATATAATGCTGAAATTGCAGGGTTAAGTTATGATCTTTATACTCATTTTAATGGATTGTTATTAACAATCGATGGTTATAGTGACAAAATGCAAGTTTTATTAGAAAAAATATTGATTATAATGAAAAATTTTGAAGTGGATTCTGAAAGATTTTCATTAATCAAAGAATACCTTCAAAGAGATTATAAAAATTCTTTATTAGATTCACCACATCAACATTCATCGTATTACTTTTTATATTTAACTCAAGAAAAAGTGTGGTCACATGAAGAAAAATTAGAAGTATTAGATGATATTAAATTTGAAGATATAAAAATGTTTTATCCTGAATTGTTGAGTCAATTACATATAGAATCATTAATTCATGGTAATATATTAAAGGACGATGCGATGAAAATGACTCAAAAAGTTGAAGAAATTCTTCAACCAAAAGCTCTTTTGCCATCACAATTAATTGGTTATAGATCTGCTATACTTCCATATGGGAAAAAATTCATTTATCAAAGAAATGTTTATGATACAGAAAATATTAATTCCGCTATTGATTATCATATTCAAGTTGATGGTTTAATGGAAGTAGAATCGAGGGCAAGATTAAGTTTATTGGCTCAAATCGCTGATGAGCCTTGTTTTAATCAATTAAGAACGAAGGAACAATTAGGTTAGTTGTCTTTTTTTTTTTCCTTATAGAAAAGGATGATATTAATATTATTTGTTTGTTTATTTTAAGGTTATCTGGTCTTTAGCGGGATAAAAAAACAAGCATCAACTATGGGATTCAGAGTTATTATACAAAGTGAAAAGGATACTGTTCATTTAGAAAATAGAGTTGAAGCTTTCTTAAATAGTTTACAGGTAATTACCTTTTTACTTTTTGTAAATTTTTTCTTTAAAATAAATTCGTCATTTTTTTTTTCTTTAAAATAAATTCATTTTTTTTTTAGAAAATAATCGAAGAGATGTCAGAGAAAGAATATCAAAACCAAGTTCAATCGTTAATTGTCAAGAGATTAGAAACCCCTAAGAATTTAGGTCAAGAAACTCAGAAATATTGGCAACATATTAGTTCCGGATATTATGAATTTGATCGAGGTAACTCTCTTTGATTATTTTCCGGTGAATTATGTTTAATAATTTTTTTAAAAAATTGATTTCCCATTCTTCTCATTTCTTTAGATGATACAGATGTAGAAGAAATACGTAAAATTACAAAACAAGATTTCTTGGAATTTTACAACAAATTTATTATTCCAAATTCATCAAATTTCAAAAAATTATCAGTACATTTAAGATCACAAAAAAATTCACAATCAAAAACATCGGTAAATGATAAAGAAAATGAAACATTGGAATTAGAATTGAAAGAAGGAAATGAAATCATTGATGATATAGTATTATGGAAAAGTCATATGAAATTGGGACCCGCACCTACCCCCGTTATAATGTTTAATGATTCAATTAGTAAATTATAGAAGTGATATATCATGTGAAAATTTTTAGATAAAAGAAAATTAATAAATATATTATATATATATATGTATTAATAATCAATAATCAATTTTAAATTCCAATAAATCACGTGATAATTGGCGATATTAACACACTATTAACACGAAAATTTCATGCAATTTAAAGTGTAAAAAAGATCATACGATATATATTTTTTTTTTCACTGCACCATCGCCGCGACGCCGCCAACCCGCGGGAAAGTTGAAAATAAATATTTAGTGCTGAATTCGCCAAATTGGCGCACATAATGTGGCAAAATATTATGTGCGGCTTTACCGCATTAATGTAATTAATTAATAAGTAATATTATTAATATTGTTAAATATGGGTTCAAAATAATTTGTAGATATATAACAGGTTTCTTTTTTTAAGAAAAATCGGAAAATTGAATTAACGAATTTTATTTGGTAAATTAAAAATATAAAAAAAATATTATTTTTCTTAATTTTAGAATTGTTTTTTTTTTGTTTTTTTTTTGACATGTGGGGTATTATGCGGAAATGCATTAAAAAAATATTTTTTGTGTTGCGCCAAATACTCAAAATGTGCGAAATGTGTGCGGCCGCACGTGCCGTACATTGAAATTCAACACTAGACCTGCAAGGCTGCACCCCGATAATACTTCAATGTAATTTAGTTCACAATGATATTCATGCATTGTAGTTTAGATTTTTTTGATCATTCTATAATGATTCTATAATGATAATAATGATATAACAATCAATTTTATGCGGATTTAGTTGAATGAACCTTTTTATTTTATTTTATTTTTTTTTTGTTCTTCGGGTATATTAGAATAAATATAGTAAGTCATACAAGTAATAAAAAAA